TCGTCATAGTAAACAGGCTCGAGTATATGGTTGACTCGGTTACTCTAATCATGGTGATTGACTACACCCATTACAAAAGCCATGGCATCAATGAAAATTGAAGATCTTCTGCTTTCATTGTAGCTTTGCAAGCTTCTTGAATGGCGTAAACATCTCCTGTTCAAAGGCCGAGAAGTATTTGAATTCAAATGTCGTAATTACGAGAGCATAATACACCTTTTTATTTGTGTTTTGTACTAATAAGTTAGTTATGCACTTCAAAGTTTCTGAATTCAACACTAAAGATCCATGAGATCTGTTTTTACCTTTGGGAATATTTATGAGCTTTTGGCATGTTCCAAGCTGAGTGAGCAACCACGACATGAAATCGGAGAGGAAGTGGAAGAAGAAAGTCAAACCGAGATTCTTTCGATTATTTGAGAGCATCACATATAAACCCAAAGGAAGTAGATGATTCTTACATTTTGATAAGTAGAGTGTTGTGAGTGGTCAGCTTCCGGAGCTGCCTCAGCTGCAGAGTCATTTCCCTCGAATATCATATAATATCAGACTAGCTCAAAGCAAGCAAGACTTTGGAGTGCACAATGTCCTCCTCCGAGATAGTATTCTCTGTAGCAATTTCAGCTTGAGATCTCTTTCAGCATTTATGGTCACCATTATTCACCCTCTGTACGTCAACGGTTAGCTAGCTTTTTTTATAGAGTAAGCTAACTATGAGAGTTCTTGTTAGCTTTTACTATAGGAGATCAAAGAAATTGTAGAAAACAAAAGTAGCTAGCTACATTATATATATCAACACTCGTAGGAATATGCATATTGAAAGAGTATATTTTGAGAGGTCAGGCGGTATTATTTTGAAGAGCTCACGTAGGATCAATTATTTCAAGCAACTTGATTTGGTACTTGTTGCCAAGAACATGAAAATGCAAGAGTTACTGCTACATAGAGTACTACAGGTACTTGTACAGGAAACGAACACAATAACACATGGGGTTCTCTTCTCAAGAATTCGTTACTTGATCAATCATCAATATACTTACAAGTTCCATTCAATATCCTTAATCTAGTCTTTCCGTTCACAAATTTATACATGATCTATAATGAACATAACACTACCCCTTAACCCCTTTGATTAGGATCTCTTACAAGATAACCCTCAACCCTTTTTTACTAAGAAATATGCTTTCTAATTGTGTTAAATGTACACCCACGTTTTTCCACTCCTATTTATACACAATAGGACTTGATGGCTAACCCTAGCCTTCTTCTCCAAGTTTTGGAGGATATCAAATCTTCCCCGAATATATATCCTTCTTACCATAATCTTTGCTAGGATAAATGGAAATCTTCTTTTTTTCTAAATCCTCTCCAAGCTAAGTATATTTTCTGTCACTTAGTTTGTAGATTCATTCTCCAAGGCTTTAAGTCGTAAGCCCAAGCCCATCTCTTCAAGCCCGATCCGTTTCTCCATCAGCTGTCCGTCTGTATTTCATGTAGTACTCTGCACTAATACATGAACTGCTTCAACTCAGTTGCATCTTTATGTTTCAGCTGTTTTACCATAAGCTTCTAACTCCTTAGATGAATACTTGTATCAACTCATATTGCATTCTAAAACTCATTCAAACAAACACTTTCA